GGTGAAGGCTGCTCCAGTGAGGACAACTCTGGATGGAGCCAGAGAGCAGGAGCCCAGTGGTGAACTCTCCACCTCCTCACACCGGGCCATTACTCCCCCTGAGCCTTCATTTCCCATCTCCCCAACCTCCTCATAAGTCCTACATGAAGAGACGAGAAAGGGAACTGAAGGCGCTTTCCTGCTCAAAACCATGAAAAGGCCAGGGTCGGTGGCTCACACCTGTAATCCCAGCACTTTGGGAAGCCAAGGTGGGTGGATCACTTGTGGTCAGAAGTTCGAGACCAGCCTGGCCAATATGGTGAAACCCCTTCTCTACTAAAAATATAAAAATTAGCCAGGAGTAGTGGTGCGCACCTGTAGTCCCAGCTACTTGGGAGGCTGAGGCAAGAGAATCGCTTGAACCCAGGAAGCGAAGCGGAGGTTGCAGTGAGCCAAGATCGTGCTATTGCACTCCAGCCTGGATGTCACAGCGAGACTCCGTCTCAAAAACAAAAACATAAAACAAACCATGAAACACAATCTACCTTCGTTAATGGAATAAACAAGACAACATAGGACAATGTGCTATTAGGTCTCTGGGGCACCATGTTTCCCTTATCCCGTCTAAAGCATATGACCATGGGGGAAAGTATCAGACACCTCTTGTCCCTGGAAATAGCCTTTTCCGGGCCTTCAACTTCAACGTCAACAAATATTTATTAAGCGTCCACTATGTGTGAGGCATTGTCAGACCAGAACTATCCAATAGAAGTTTCTGTGATGGGAATGTTCTGCATCGGCACTAATAGCCATGTGGTTACTGAGCAATCGAAATGTGGTTAGTGTGACGGAAGAAGTGAATTTTTAATTTTTCTTAATGTTAATTAATTTTAAATTAAATTTAAATAGCCACATGTAACTAGTGACGACCATATCGCACAGTGCGGGACTAGACCCCGAAGATTCACTGGACAGCTAAAAATCCTTGCTTTCTTGAGGTTTATGTTCCATTAAAAGGAAGTGGGGACAGACAATAAGGTAAAAAAGTGAAATACATCGCAAGTCAGATAGTGAAAGTGCTATAGAAAAAAAGCAATAAAGCCAGAATCAAGTTAGGAAAGGTCAGAATTCTGAAAGGGGTGGCACACTGAACAATTTTCATGCCCAGTGAATGTCCTGTAAAGGTGAACCTCTCAGACTTTATTTTAGGTACTGCCGAAAGCAAGCCGGAGAGTCTAGTGAACCTAGTTTTTGAATACACCCGTAAGTCAGGTGTCTGATTTGAACAGTTGCTTTTATCCTTCTCAACTCTGTACTCAAAATGCGCCACTTCTCACTTGGTACAATAATCAGGAATAATGTGTATCTTAATGGAGCTTCTCCATTAAAAGGTTTTGGAAATAATATATAAAATTAATGGTTTACAAGAATAGTGTTAGACACTTGAAAACATAGCTAACCTAAAGACCTTCAATGCACCATGAATACATTCATTCCCCGAATAAAAATGAATCCCAAAATTGGTTTTGATTTTTATTTAAAATTCAAATGTCTGATGTCCTTAAATTGAACAAATGATATTTAAAAATATCTATATCAGCCTCCAACATCTGCAGATTGCGATTTGCATTTTGAAATTGGCTGCTTGAAATGAACGGGGATGAGCGCTGTCATTCTTCTTTTCCTCCCTCTGGTTATTTAATGAAATGCGAGAGGTCAACCCTTTGTCCTTAAATTAGTTCCCATAAAAATCTTTTTGTACTTTGCAGCTTGTTATGATGTCTTGAGGCTGAAGGAAACGTTGCCATTAATTATGTCTTTGTTGAATATGGATATCTATTCTGAGTTAGTTGAACAGTTTCAAACAAAATTAGCATCGAGCCACACTCGGGCCAGCTTTGGGTTGGTTATCAAGAATATTTCTCGCTTTTTTTCTCCCTTTCTTTTTTTCCTTTAAATTTTTTTTAAATAGCTGAGAGAATGCTCTTCGGCAAGTGTGTATTATCTAATATATTCAGCTTTCAGTTGCTACTTTTTTCCAGATGAAGATGAGCTTAATTGAGGTTGTCCTTTTAAGTTTGTAGGGCCCTTCAGCATCTCACACAAAAGCATCTAGAGGCTTTTCATTTGTCTTGAGTATGTTTCAGATGTACAAATATTATTTACTTTAAACTTCAAATCAAAAGGTGCACTGTAACTGTTTTAAATAAAACGTTAGTCAAGACTGAAATATATATAAATTCAAAGCTATACTTTTTTTTTCATTTATGTGAAGGGAGTTCAGTTAACAAATTTTAGGATACATGTCGGAGGAACTGTTTAGCAACACACTTCAAGCAAGCAAGCACTTAATAAAGGAATTCATTCCCAGTCCTCCAAAGATAAATATTACAAACCCACTCTACAACTAAGCTGTGAAGTTAGTTTTCTGTTGCAGATTCTCTTAAATGTTTGCATGAATAAGATGGGGGTAAAATTGATTTTGAAGAAGTGAAGCTCATCAGTGAAATGTACCCAGGGTGCGCATCTGGGGGGGCATTCTGAAAAAATGAAGAAAAACATTCAGCTACAGGCTCAGCTCTATATAAACCTGTTTGTAGTATGAGGGTCATGAAGGCTGATGAATGGGACTTCAGCCCTGGGAGAAAATCCTTTTCTGTGAGCATTTAAATCAATGTGTTGGAAATTATAGTACATCCCAGAGAACATGGCAGAAACTGAAAAACAGAATAAGATTCTCTTTTTGCTTTTAATAATAATAATAATAAGCCCCAAGGACCATACTAACAAAGTAGATTGACTCATTTAGGAATAAAATTCTCAAACAACCCTGTGAAAGATAAGTATTCCCTATTGTAGCAAAAACAATGGGTATGAACTTTTTTTTTCCCCCAATGAAGATCCTGTTTAATGTCTTAAAAATATTTTGTAATGATTTTTATTTTCATTCCTTCTTCCTCCAGCTCCTTTCCTGAATATGGAACCAGAGAGTCCCTTGTTGTGAAACATTCCTGGGAAAGAGGAGCTAACCTTGTATCGCTTTTAGTGTAATATACATTTTTCATCTTAAATGGGAGCTCATAATGACATTGTGTGGAAGGGATTCCAGGCCTCTGTGATTATCACCATGTCTCCTTGAGCTGCGCCTCTGGAAAAAAATGTGAAGGAGGTAGCCCTCTGGAATGAATAAATCCTGCCGCCTGCCTGTAATTATTTATTAAAATAGATTAAAGAAATAGGCTAAAAAGGAACCCGCCACCCATATTAGAGATAGCATAATAAGAGTACATAGAAAGGGAAAATTAACACCAGGGAGGAAAGAATGTTAGATATGTGCTTTCAAGAATACAGCCATGTCTGCATTGTTGGCTTACACGCAGACACACGCCGGGTTTTTCATTTGGCAGGGTGGGCTGTGCTGATGAAAATGTGGGTTACTAATACTGATGTGTATGTCTCTAATTAACATTAGAATTGAGTGGTAAACAGAACCAGGAGAGAATTCAAGAGAGAAATGGGCTAAAAGAGAAGCCGATGTGTAGAGAGGAGGGGGAAGAGACGATTGGAGAGAAGAAATCGGTTAGCCCTTGTTCAGATGGGTTTAATTTTGTCACTTGAGTCAAAACTGGAAACCTGCTTTCTAGTACAATTGCTTCTGTGTTTAGTGGGTGCTGTCCTTGCAGGCTCCTTTCATTGCAGGAGAATTTTATAAACAGTACACCATCATCAAACCATCTTGGGGGTCAACTTTCCACTTGTGCCTTTAGCTCTTATGCGAGTACTTTTATAGTGTCTTCTAATATACAGGATTTATCTTCGGTTCTGAGAAGAGCTTTTAAACTTAATCCCTCGCTGGAGTACTAATTTGTTTCTTCATCCTTAAACCAGTACTTTCGGTTAACTTTCATCAGAAGCGGTAGATTTCTTTAGTATGGCCACTCAAGAAACGTACGTTTGCGTTAATGTTTTGTTTTGTTTTGTGGCTGTTTTTGTTTGTGACTGCTGGGAGAACAACAGGGTGGGAAAGATTTTGATGATGGTTGCTGATATTATTCATGTATTTTTGTTTCTTAAAGTCCAAAGTACATAACTGGAAATATTTGTGGATGGTTGCCTTAAAAATATTTCTAATCATATTCCCTAAAGAAAATAAAAACTACTACCTATTTTTTAAAAAAGGAATGCGAGAACTTATTTTTACTTTTTTATTCTGGCTTTTCCCATGATATTAGAGTGGAATAATATGCTATGATGTTTATGTATGAAAAACAGAATACACTTGCATATGTTATGAGGAAGAAAACTGCTTCTAGGAAAACGAACTTATTTTTTCTTTTTTTATATTTTAGGAAATGATTTATCAAAGTAACAAAATGACTCATTGGGGAAGCCGTGTTATCTATAAAAACAATCAGCATTTGACTTCCTTTCATTTTTATAAGGCTAATGTAACAAGGATGTTGCAGAGGCAAAAATGCACTCGAATCCTTTTAACCATATGAACACTTATGAATTTTATTGCAGCTCCTGTGTAACTACTTTATTTAACCAACTAAATAAAGCATGTACTTTTTAGAAATATTTAATGCTCAGCAACAAAAACTGTATCCAAAGAAAATGTGTATTTCCTACGTAATATCCGCCTTGCCTCGTAAATTCGTTAGAAAAAAATATACAAACATATCCAGAGAAATGCTTTGGGTTTTTTCTAAAGTCATACATGTTTATGTAGAGAGGAATGGAACCATCTTCACACACGAATAGAAAGCGGAGATCTTCAGTGTTGGAGTTCAGAAAATGAAGAGAACTTATAAAAATGTACAGCTGGGAACGCCATTCCAGTGGATCTTCCCCACCACGAAGTTATTACTGTGTGAACAACGTTCATTAGCTTTACCAATATTGTACTTCTGTTTATCTGCCATTACCATCTTAACAAAGTAAATCATTCCTGTTCTTCCCAGGTCGCGTCTCCTCCCCCACCCTCTGAAAAACCAACATTTGTTACCCATAAACAGGGGGGACGCTCAGTGGTAAGTATAATAGCTTAAATTGAATTTTCCTTCGAATGATTTAGTGAATACTAGAACACATTTTTACTTTGTTGTTTAGACTCAAGAAGGCATAAAATCTCCGCAATCTATTTATCATGTAGTTATTTTAATGTAAACATGTGTCCGTTTAGATGAAGTGCTTTCATTATTAAGCTAATTCCAACGTGTCTCAGATAGACCATGAGAAGGGAGCCCAGCCCTGGCTGATGGGGAACCGAAACCTGCCTCCGCTCAGCCTGCTGTCAGATACGTCTTCATTAGTTTTTTGTCATTCACCGGTGGCAAATGCTGTATAAATGGAATGACGATCAGGCCCGCCTTGATAGCTTGTCTTATCTCATTAGTTTTCACATCAAAGTTAATCAGCAATGTGAATTGTAATTGCTAGAGGAGACAATGCGTACATCGCTGGTTGCTTTCTCCCCCTCCCCTGTATGGCATCTTGAAACATCAGCAGGCTGGCTGGAGCAGATAGGCTCGGAAGGAAAATGATGTGGAAGGCATAATAAGCGAGCTGCTCAGAATTAATGAGCTAACCCAATAAGAAAAGAATGGCCAATCAATGTGAGTTGGGCAAATATAATTTAGAAATAATTGCTTGATTGGTTGCCTATAGTAGACTGATTTGACCACACACAAGGATTAAGAATTAAGATGTCAAGGCAAAAAATAATTTGGCAACTGAGGGCATGTAATTTTTTGTGTCCTTCCCTTTATGATTGAAAGAGATGGGTGTTTGATATGCGATTCGCCAGAATGAAAACATTAGACACCCTCTCGTTCTCTTTCTGTTCCTCTTACAATGCAGGCCCATTCAGAATACAATTGTGATACTCCTGGACAGGACATGAAAAAGGTATGGATTGAGAGAGAGAGAGAGAGCGTGTATGTGTATGTGTGTGCGTTCCCATTTATCGCAGTTATGCCCAAAGGATGAATGGGTTGGTACACAAGGTGTTCGCATCTGCCCTGAGCTGCAACATCATTGGGAGGCATGGCAAAGTGAGAGATGTGGATATTTGCAAAATATGTCAATTGTATGTCCTCGGCCAAAGAGTTCTGCTCACATTCTACATGTTCCTAATGCAATTTTCCCCACAGCTATTCACCAATTAGTAGAGGGCCCTTGCTGTATTCTTCTGTCTAAACTATTGGGAAGGTTCAGCCAGAAGGTAAATTTGCTTTGATCTACATTACACCTAATTGAGTCACCAGCAATGTCTATCCCAACATCAAGAAATGTGAAAATGTTAGATTATTTCACTGGGGATTAAACCTAATTTTCGCGTGTTCTGCATTAACCTATTAGGCTGGCTAATCTGCATTGCTAATGTGGCTGAGGCAGCTGTCACAGCTAAAGAAAAACATGATCATGCAATCCTTGAATGAATGATTCCCGGCCTGATTAGTCTTAGTGAAGTTAGCTGAGCCCTGGTGATAAGGAAGGAAAATTCCCAGGTTGCCAATAGCTTTGAAAATTATCAGACTGTAGGCAAAAATATACCTCATGATTCACAGGCTTCGGTCCAAATACCGTGTTGAGTGACATTATTTAAGACTGACTAAGACTAACTCGAATTGTCACTCGCATAAATGTTTGTGTTTATTTTAAGGGACTAATGTAATGGATGCAGATTTAAATGTTAATAGACGCCAGCCAGACACATAAAACCACAGGCCTTGTTACCCTGTTGGTCTTTTATTAACATAGATTAAATTGTAATATTTTCTAGATAAATTGGCAAAATCAGAAAGATGCGTTGCACCCCAGAATGCTGATGAGGATGACTTTTGCAGGACTTCTGGTTTTTCGGGAGATGTGTGGATCACAGTAGCGGAAGTTTACGCTTTCACTCCTCTCCTTCCTTATCAGTTTAGAAAAAAAGAAGAAGAAGAAAAATAGGGGAAAAATGTGTTTCTAAGGAGGAAAATAGATTTCTGCAGCCCATTGACCGGAACCACTTTCTCTGTCTGTCCACTTAATTGAGAGGACTCGGCATGCATTTCTCCTCATCCCTGTACTTTGTTCACTCGGAGAAGGCTTTGCTGCAGTTTCAAGGCTTTGCGTGCTCCTCTCCTCTTGCTGTTGATTTCAACAGCAAGAGCGCCACCATGATGGGTACCCTTCAGATGTGGAAAGTGTTCAAGGGAGTTTGGTGGCTGCAAATAGAGCTGGGAGTCCATTTAATCCGATTAGCAGTTCCACAAAATGGGCCTGCTCAACCCATTGTGGACAGAAGCCTTTACTTTATTTGTTTCTATTAGCCAAGAATCAGTTATCAGAAAAGTGGAATTTTGCCCCATCAGATTGCCCAGACAATCAACAGAAAATAAATGAGGAAATAGTCTAATGTGTCAATATTTGTCTTTTGGCCCTAATTGTCCACAGAGGGAACTTGCTGAGTGTGCGAAGTTGGCAGCCTGGGTTTATCTGTGTACTCTTGATGGTTTTTCCCACTGTGTAGGCACCAGAGCAGCTACGTGTGCAGTAATGACATCTCAAAGGCCAACAGCACTGGCTGGAGAATAAAGGCGTTTTAAAGGTCTAAGAACACTGGATTGGAGAGCCAAGGAGAACCCTTGATGGATGAGGAGGAAGGCAGAGCCCAGCAAGTAGCAAGTCATTTGTGACCAGGTTTCCAATGCCGGAGTGAGGTAGAACAAAAGCACTGAAGGGACAGGAGCTTCCGTTCCTGCCCCAGTGCCAGCCTGTCTTTCCCGTTTCCCAGGAAGCTCAGCTGACTACAAGCCTATGGGGGTACAGCCCTCCTCTTATTTCTGTTGCCTCTTGTTAGTTGAGAAAAGTTAGGGTTTCAAATTGTTTTAGTCCCTCAAATTGCCTTTAAGGATAATGGTAATAAAATGATGCAAGCTACAATATTTGAGTATTCACTATGTACCAGATACTATTCTAGGCACCGAATATTTTCCCCCCAAGTCCCATGAGATGCTGCTATCATTAGGCCCATTTTACAGATGAGTCACTGAGACCCTGAGAATAGTTTGCCTAAATTCACTCAGTCAGTGGCCATAGAGCCATGCCTTGAACCTAGGCAGTCTCACAGGCTCTTCATTACCACTGGACCCCAAAGTCCAGGGTCAGGCCTAGAGAGCCAGTGTCTCCTTAAATTTTACACCTTAAGTACCCACCAGAGTCCCCTTCCTGGACACCTTCCTTCCTTTCTACTGACCTCTCCTTTGCCCCCTTGAAAACCTCAAGACAGACACGGCCAGGTGTGGTGGCTCACGCCTGTAATCCCTGCACTTTGGGAGGCCCGGGCAGGTGGATTGCCTGAGGTCAGGAGATGGAGACCAGCTTGGCCAACATGGTGAAACCCCGACTCTACTAAAAATAAAATTAGCCGGGCATGGTGGCAGGCGCCTGTAATCCCCGCTAGTAGGGAGGCTGAGACAGGAGAATTGCTTGAACCTGGGAGGCGGAGGTTGCAGTGAGCTGAGACTGCACCATTGCACTCCAGCCTGGGCAACAAGAGTGAAACTCCGTCTCAAAAAAAAAGAAAAAGAAAAGAACAGCTCAAGACACAACAATGGCAGAAATTGTGCACAAGCCCATATCACACAGTCCCATTGACTAAGTGTTTTCAATAACACAATCCCACTCAGTTTTCACAGAATCTTTTCACTGAAGGTGGGACAGAAATTTTGATTATCCAGGCCTCCTTTAGGCCTCTCAGACCATAGTGACACTTGAGCCCCGAGTCAGCAGAGATCGCTGCCAAAGAGTCACGCTTCAGCAACTTATCTGGACCGTGGACAATGGCGTGAACTGACCCTTTTCCCCTTGCTCAGCTGAAAGGTGCCCTCCCCTCTGGTTCGCTGAGATGAGCCGTGGCTCCTGATTCATTCCGAGAAGACAGCAATTGGATCTAATCATGGAGCACAACGCACGCTGGATGGGCCATCAGCGCAGAGCCATAATCTCTGCCTGGAGTGAGTTCTTCCATAACTCCAGCCCATTGCACAAAATTGACGGGCTCTTTTCTTTGTGGCTGGATCTGATAGCATTCTGGGAAGTCTTTGTACCGCTTTATATCACAGGATCACTATACCTGTGTGGGAATGTTAACAAAACTATGGTTATGAAATACTGATATTATCTTTTAGTAAATTAAATCTGCCTTTCCTACGAATAGTGGAGTTTAAGAAAGCTGAGACAAATTCTTTTTTCAAAAAACATTTCTTTGAATTCTGTATTACTCACACGTAGGTTATTTTCTCTTTCTGGCAATTCTACTGGGCCCATTCCTCTCTAATAATGTGACATGGTGTCATCACAAGACCAAACATCTTTCTGACCTCCCATAATAGCTTCTCAGTGACACAGGTGAAGGTCATTCCCATTTGCATGGCCCTCAATACCTGCTGAACACCCAGGAAGTGCCAGCAATGTTTGACAAGCATATCAGTCTCCTATTGCTGCTGTAACCCGTTACCGCGTGTTTAGTGTCTAAAAATAATTCAAATAAATTTTCTTACAGTTCTGCAGGTCAGAAGTTCAAAATGGGTCTTAAAAGTATCAGCTGGACTGGTTCATTCCAAGAGACTCCAGAAGAGTCCCTCCCTTGCCTCTTCCAGGGTTTAGAGGCTGCTAGCATTCCTTGGCACCAGGCCACATCACTCCAACCTCTGCTTCTACCTCTGCTTCTGTCCTCATGTCACCTTCTCCCGCTATGATGTCCTACCTCTCTCTCGTTAGGATCTTTTTGATTATATCGAGCCCACCCAGATAAACCAGGATCATCTCCCTATCTCAAGATCCTTAACTTGATCCCATCTGAAAAGTCCCTTTGACCATAGAAGGTAACATGCATAGTTCCAGGAATTAGAACATGGGCACTGGGGGAGGAGGGGGCAAGTTATTCAGCCTACAACATGCAATCGATCTTGGGAAGAGAGACAAAGTGTTCATTATTCATTTATTCATTCATGCATTCGTCCAGCTGCAAATATGAGTTTGTGGGCGTCATGTTCAGCCCCAGGACTGCAGCAGAGAGCAGGGCAGTCTTCCCGTTGTGAAGCATGAGATCCAGAGAGTGAGTGGCAGAGATCAGATGACAGGGAGCCCATCCAGTCTGGGATGGGCACTTGTGTCCAGAAAGTCAGCCCTGAGAAAGTGACGTTTATGCCAGGACCTGAGGGAAGGGTAGGACTTTGCCAGGGGAAGAGGTTAGGGTAAGGTGAAAAAGCCACAAAGGCAAAATGACCATCCAAGCTTCAAGTAATTGTCAGTCTAGAGGGGAAGCATTTAACTGCAGTGACAATGATTTTCACTGTCTGCTATGGTCAAAGCTGAGAGCCCTCTTCTAAGTGAGCATTAATGTTTCTGTTGTTTTCTTGAAAGGGCGAAGGATCCCAGTGGGTAAGAGGAAGGTAGGGCAAGTCAGCAGAAGCTTCCTCAATCTTTGACTTCTTTTAGCTTGTTTGTTTGTTTAGACACAGGGTCTCACTCTGTCATCCAGGCAGGATTGCAATGGTGCAATCATGGCTCACTGTAACCTTGCACTCCTGGGCTTAAGCAATCCTCTCACCTCAGTCTCTTGAGTAGCTGGGATTGCAGGCATGCACCACCATGTCTGATTTACTTTTAAAATTCTTTGTAGAGAGAGGTGTCTCACTATATTGCCCAGGCTGGTCTTGAACTCCCGACCTCAAGCGATTCTCTTGCCTCCCAAAGCATTGGAATTACAGGCATGAGCCACCACACCTGGCCTTCCCTCACTTCTGATTGGACTCATGGTCTGCATAGCTTCCATGACCAAAAGGTCCTATACTAACGATATTTACACAGCCTCTGGAAAGCTGCTGCAAGATACTTATTAATTACAAATGGAAAAATAGTCAATTCAAGTAAAGAAGCATGGTGGGCCAGTGATCAGAGCTAACATCACCAGTCATGGGACAACTTGACATCATGCACCTCTTAATAGGATGCATTGAGAGGGGTTCCACAGCAGTCTTCCCGGGGTCTTCCTGCCCGACGTGTATCTCCTCAACACAGTCAGGTGGAAACATCAGACAAACCCAAACTGAGGGATGTTCTGTAAAATAGATGACCCATACTTTTCAAAACTGTCAATATCACAAACGACAAACCAACTTTTGTCTCTATAGATTTGCCACTTCTGGATACTGAATGCAAATGGAATCATGCAATATGTAGTCATTTGTGACTGGCTTCTTTCACTTAGTGTAATGTTTTCAAGGTTTGTAGCTACATCAGCACTTCACTTATTGTTATTGTTGAATAATATTTCATTGTATGGGTATATTGTATTTTGTTTAGCCCTTCATCAGTTTCCACTTTGGGGCTATTATGAATAATACTGCTATGAACATCCACACACAAATGTTTTTGTAGACATACATTTTCATTTCTCCTGGGCGTATACCTAGGAGTGAGATTGCTGGTCATATGGTAACTCTATCTTTGACCTTCTGAGGAAGTGGAAATTGTTTCCAAAGTGGCTGCCCCAGTGTACATTCCCATCAGTAGTGTGTGAGGGTCTCAGTTTCTCCACATTCTTATCAACACCTATTTTCTGTCTTTTTTATTCTAGTCATCCTAGGGGGTGTACATTTGTATCTTATTGTGGTTTTGATTCCTTGTGCTATTCTTACTTTTCTGTAAATCTGAAATTGTGTCAAAATAGAAAATGAAAAGAAAGCTATTCTGTGTCATTATTATTCTATGATCAAAGGATGTTGGGGAGAAATCTTATTTCTCTCTGAAACTGAGCTGATGAATCAACATACAGATCCTGAGGATAAGGGCAGAGCTAATGACCTGAGTTCTAGAAATTCAAATGCTTTCTGGGCCCACTGTTTCCATTCATTCACTCAAAAAACATTTATCAAACTCCAATTATAAATTTATAAAAAGATGAGTATTAGTCCCAGAGAGATAGTCTCCATCTCATGGGAGGAAATACATTTAAACTAATGCTATTGTATTGCCTTTCTATTATTTATTACTATCCAATTTGCCACAGACCCCACCACTCTCTATTGTCTGAGTACCTGCTATGCTCATTTATCACTCCTTGCTTGGCCTTATAAGTACTCAAGCTTGCAAGTATGACAGAGAGAGCACCTGACCTTTTGATAATGTCAGAGAAAGCCTCTCAGTGGCAAGTGCCTGTCTAACATTAGGGTAAATCCAGGTTGTACTCTATGTACAGAATTCCCCTGACCTAACCTATTAAATCCTACAAAAGAGAAAAGAATGTTTGTCAACATGTTTGCACATCTCAATAGACTGTTAATAACTATAGTTTCTCTCTTAATTCTCATAAATCATCTGCTTAATAATTGACTTATTTGTCAGAAATTGAGACGTTACTACTCATTGTCTTCAGTTGGTTACTAATAAAGTGAACCCACTCAAACTGGATTAAGAGAAAGAGACCCACGTTAACAGATGTGGCTTTGAACTTGGATGGACCCAGGGTCGTTCTACAGCTCAGCTCTGGTGGCTTCTGTTTTGGTTTCATTCTAGGAACCTCCTCCATGGATTGGGCTCAGAAGTCCCCAGGCCTACACTTTTCTCACAGTTAGCAATCACAACA